TATATATATATATATATATATATATATATATATATATATATATATATATATATATATATATATAGAGAGAGAGAGAGAGAGAGAGAGAGAGAGAACGTGGAAATGTTTTTGTTCATCACTGAATTTGACTACAACTATGACAATCTCGCACACAAATCCAGAACCCTATGAACCACCAATCCGACCCGACCCCGAACCCGCTCCTGCTGCCACTCCCTGCCGCTATCCCTAAATCCTACGTGGCATGTTGTCCACGTCGTCAACTATCGCCACGGACATGGCGGCGGCGCACCATGGACCACCACGTGGTGCTCCACATGCTCGATGAGACTCCTGCGAACCAACTCCCCTAGCGCGGACCCGTTTGTTGGGTCATCGTCCACCACGGGCTTGATGTTGAGGTCGGGCATATGACGAACGAAACGAGGACGATCTTTTTGCCAACGACGACGTCTGCGATGACCGTGGTCACCATCGCTGTCGCTGCTACTATCGAGCATACCAGGGTCAAATTCCACCCTGTGCTCGATCATCAGGTTGTGGAGGATGCAGATTGCCATCACTTCCTTGCAAATGGTTTTCTTGTTGCTAATGTGCGGTCGGATGAAATTCCTCCACACGGCCTTTAGTCGGCCGAAGCAGCGCTCGATGCAAGACCGCACCGCCGAGTGACAATTGTCGTAGGTTCGTTCCTGAGCTGTTGTAGCCGTCCTCCCGACAGGTGTCATGATCCATGGCAGGAGAGGGTAACCTTGATCACCAAGCACATACCGTCCCACGTGTCTGCCGTCGTGCAGGTGTGCACCTCCCTCGTTGAAGACACCTGCCCCTTGCGAGACCTGACGGAACAGTTCCGAAATGCACAAAACTCTCGAGTCATGCACAGACCCTGGGCACCCCACGTAAACACTAGTGATTCTGCACTCGTGGTCACAAACTACCTGACACTGGACAAAGAATTGTCCTGTGTGATGGTAGTAGCATTCCCCGCGCATACCCTTCAGTTTGTCGATGTACAAATGGGTGCCATCAATTGCACCGATGCAACCGGCGAACCCTTTCGCCTCGAAAGCGTTCTCCACTTCCTGCATTCGACGGCCAGTCGGCCACCGAAGGAGATGGCCATACTCGCTGATGATAGCATCCGCGACCTCTTCGTTGCAACGCAAGGCACTCGCAAGGCCCATGCCCATGCCATGCGAGGTCTGCCGGTAATACCCGCCGGTCGCCCACCTAATGAGAGCCATAGCGAACTTCTGACCAGTAGGAATAGGATTCCTGAAGTTCGTTGGGGATCGCTGGATATGGGGTGCAATTCTACCCAGCACTTCGAAGAATAGCGGGCGAGGCAGTCTGCAGAATCGGACAAACACCTTGTCGTGTTCACGGCCTGTCCCCTGCTGGTACACGGTGCCCTGAGTGTGAAAGTAGCCGTTGAGCAGGCTCCCGGCGGCGTTTTCAAATTCGTTTTCGATGAAATGCGGTCCGTTATTCGGAAGTGACACCTGCATCGCCGAGAGCGCCGTGGTGATGTGACCGCTTCAGAGGGCATTCGGGAACTGCGTCCATTCACTCCGTGTGCTTGTGTGGGAGGCGTGTGGCAGCCCGTCGTGTGGTGGTTTGCAAACTGCAGGTAATAGAGGAGATGGACAGTCCGGTTCCATCTGGAAGTTCTTCACAGGAGCGGGAAGACATGCTCTTCTTCTTGGTTTTCGCCATAACCCAGTGGGTGCACAGGCGCAATGCGGCGGCCATGGCCGTCCTCGAGGCTGTCGCATTCACCCCGTTCCTGTTCGGGGACGCGGCGACATCGTTGCCGCTCCTTGCAGGCGGGGTGATGCACGGATTCGCTCTCGCCAGTTTGGCTGCGGAGGAGTTGGGAAGACGCATGGAGCGCTGACGGCGGATATGGGTCATGGAACGAAGTGGGGGGGTGTGGAGGGATTTGCAGCGAATGGAAGTCATTTTCCAAGAGGCCGGCAAGACAGTGGCGGTGGGGTCTCGACTTTTTCTGGAAATGGTTTTCCAGACGGCGTTGGCCGTTTTTCGTGGCCGAACAAGTTTTCCAACTGCCGAGCAGTGGGGTCCAAGCCTATGAAGAACAGCTGTGCACCCGAATTCATGGGTTGGTACCATCTCCTTCACGTAAGTCTTCATAGTGATGTACCGTGGCAATAAAATGTGTCCACGAACACATTCACGAGGATGAACAAGTAACGGGTATTGGGATACATTCCTCGCGATGTGTCTCATGATGCCTTTAGCAGGCCATCCGACAGACGCCGAAGCATTCCTGTCAGATGCACCACAATATTCGAATTTCACATTTCAAGTTCTATTTCTCAGAGGCAAAAAAAAAAAAAAACGAAGTCTGGAAATCAACCCCCCCCCTTTAGAGCCCATAAAATCTTGACTTCGCCCACGCAAAGCCACGAGCTATCATGTCCAAGTTAGTCCAACTTCGTTTTTTTTTTTCTTTCGACGCATCTCATTGGAAGGGAGGTGGGCATCTTTACAGTCCCCGCTCGGAAACTACCAGGCCGTCGAGATGCTATCTATTCGACGGCCGTACTGAGTCACTGGATGCCACACGTGATCGAAATCCTGAACGGCGTGGTAGAATACCTTGCTAGTGGGTCCAGGCCCCTGGGCCCTTAAAAGAACAAAAAATAAGAAAAAAGCTCTGTCCTTGGTCGGCATTCTTTTTCTTTTTTTCTTTTTTCTTTTGGAAGAAGTACACCTGTCATTGCAAATAGAAAGTCCGGGCCGGGAATCCCCACAAACAACCCGGGAGAGCTCAGACCCATTGCCCCTTTTGGGCCCATACTGGAAACCGGGTCGCCAATTTTTACCCTTCTGCTTGCTGTTCTCAGGTGCGAGGAAGGAACCTCTCTGTCAATACTTTTTTTATCTTTCTTTTCTTTCTCTTTTGTCTATTTCGAGGCGGATATATATATATACTAATTATTCTCCTCTCATCTATCTCATCTTCTTGGTATTATGCATCTAATTATTCTTCTCTCATCTATCTCATCTTCTTGGTATTATGCATCTATGTATAGTACGGGGGAACACCAACCAACCGGGATCTCTCCCATGGGCTCACCACACCACAGTAGTCGTGCAAGAGCAAGGTCCTCGCTCCACTACTCATGAAATGTGGCAAAACGAGAATGAATCTTCCGCTAGAACATGGAAATATAGACCGGCATATTTCTTTTTCTTTTGTGCCTGTGGTGAGTAGTGGAGCGAGGCCCCATACCTGGAGGAAACGTGCATTTACTCAGAGCACGCTAACGTCTGACCAGCAGTTCACTGAACCTGCTCAGAAATCCGACCACATGCTTCCACAAGGTCCTACTTCGTGTGAGCATGGGCCTCGCTTCAAATTACCATATGCACAAAAGACAAAAAAAAAATATATGGCGGTGTATCTGTCCATCCACTCGGAGATGATTCGTTCTCATTTTGCACATTTGGTGAGTATTGAACCGAGGCCGCATGCCTTGCGGCCTTCCTCGAAGGGGTAGGGTTCCTTTCTCTTTTTTTTTTTTTTTTTTTTTTTTTTTTTTTTTTTTTTTAAACGAAATCCGGGAACCCGGCGTCCCTTTTTATGCAAAGCCAGGAATCGGGCCTGGCGTCCCTGACAAAGATTCCGCAGTCCGGTTTGGAGGCGAGACATCACCGGCCAAGCCCAGAAACAGGACTGCCTCACTCTTCCAATGTTATGCAGAACAGAAACGAACAAGTTCCTCTTTCTCTTTTTTTGGCGTTCGCCGAAGCGCGAAGGGTTTGGAATTTAGTTTTTATTTAGTTTTTACTAACCTTTTTTTTTTTTTTTTTTTTTTTTTCTTTCTATATTCTTCTCTCAACTTCTGTTTTTGCCTTTCACTACCTACTCCTAAGGCTATTTAGAGGGGACCCCTACAAGCATAGTTTCCTATCACTGTGAAGGGGAGATTTCATGTTGCCCCTTGCCCCTAATATTTTAGGGTATAGAGTTGGGGCCGCCAGTGGGGGGCTGGCTAACACAAAGACCGAGGGCTAGGTCCCACTTGCACGAATTAAGAGATACTGACTGACCGTTGATAGCAAAGATCAACGGCCGAAATCTCCTAATTTGCGCAAGTGGGACCTTGCCCCGAGACCTGCCAGTAGCTGCGCCTCCCTTTCTCATCGTCCCCCACCCTAACTTTTTAGGGCCTCGCCACACCAGTCTCGAAATGGGAAAAAGACAAAAATGTGGCGGGAGCATCTGGCCATGTTCTAGCGGGAAGTTCATTCGCATTTTGGACATTTCGAGAGTGTTGTGCCATGCCCTTAGTTTTCAACCAGCAATAGACGCGTCTCGGTTAGCCTTCACAGACTGCATCATACCGCAAGCGCAAAGATGCAGGGTTGCTTTCTGGTCGCCGCACAAAATGCAGTCTTACCGCTTCAGGGAAAAAAAGGAAAAAAAAAGAAAAAAAAAAGAAAAAAGAAAGAAAGAAAAAAAAAGGGAGCCGCAAGCCGACGGGACGCTGCCACACAAGAACTATCACACGCACTATAACACGCGCGGGTGCACGCGGCCGCATCTCCGCACACGCGCCCGCACGTCCGCACGCACACGCGCACCCGCAGGCAGGCGCATAACAGCCATCTGCACTCGCACACCCATTGGCCCACACACACGCAGAGGAGCAGCTCCGTCCCTTCACATGCTCACACGTGAGAAGAAATCGGACGAGAGAGACACAGAGAGAGACAGAGACACAGAGAGAGAGAGAGAGAGAGAGAGAGAGAGAGAGAGAGAGAGGTCTGGACGCTGAACAAGTGTTGGAATTGGCGAGTGCAGTTCGTCGATTTGGCGACAAGTAACGTTTTGGAAGAGATGGGCAAGCGGGGAACAGGTGGGGGTGGAGTGAAGGCGATGATGAAGCAACGGGGAGTCGGACATGGTGAGGAGAGAGGAACCCTCTCCGAAGACGACGAGAGAGGGGGCCACCTGTTTTCTCCTTGGGTGACACTTAGCTTCTTCCCGTCTGTGATGCAAGTGGCTATGGCGATGGCGTTGATTGCTGTCGTCTTGCTGATGCCTGTCTTCTGCGTACACAGTGGCCGGCCCATGGGATGGGCCTCGCGGCCGGGCCCGATGTTTGGCACCGTGGGCGACGAAACTTCGGTACAGGAAGTAGGACTAGGAGGAGGAGAACTAGGAGGAGGAGGAGGAGGAGGAGGAGGAGGAGGAGGAGGAGGAGGAAGGAATGTTTTCGGACCGGGTGAGGGACAGGATGGCAGCAAAGAATTGCGGAATGCGATGCTCGAAAGAAGAGAGAGCGGGACGATGACACCAAGTGGCGGGGGAGTCAGCCATAGCCGAAGCCGCTATAGCCGAAGCCGCTATAGCCGAAGCTTCTTTGCCATGTCTGTGGTTCAATGGGCTTGGAAGAAGACGAAGGGCGACGGTCCTGATGGAAAGGAGGACCGCAGAACGGTAGCTGACCGCCTGTTTGCGTTCTCGTCGTTTTTGCCGCTAGTACAACGGGCCATGGAAGGTGAGACGAGGTGATGAATGGCTCTGTCTTTGTCTTTGCTTTTGTTTTTGTTTTTGTTTTTGTTTTTGTTTCCCTTCCATAGTCCATTGCCAGATGCTATAGCTAGATGCTACAGGCAGATGCTATTCTATAGCCAGATGCTATGCTATTGCCAGGTGCTGTAGCCAGATGCTATAGGCAAAGCTTATCAAGTGGCGGATATGGCGAAGCGGTCTTGTTGATGGGCTTGATGGACGATGACATCAATGATATGTTCAATCCTTTTATACTTTTTCCTTCTCTATTTTGTCCCCTTTTGTTGCGTCTTCCTCGATTTCCTCTTCACCGTTTCGATATAGGAATGCTTTGGGCCTTGCTCCACTATTCACGGAATGTGCAAAAAAATGAGAATGAATCTTCCGCTTGAACGTGGCACAGGATGCATCGCCATATCTTTGGTCTTTGGTCTTTTGTGCATGTGGTGAGTGAAGGAGAGAGGCCCTTCGTGCCATCAATTGTGCTTCTTCGCTGGCCGTCTTTATCCGGTTGGATAATATTAATTACTGTTACTAATTAATTAATTAACATTAATTAATTAAGTGATTAATAAATTAAGGAGTGCTGTTTCAGAGAGTAGGTGAGCCTAGGAATAGCAGATTGAACAGGGGTCTGATACGTCACATTCATGGAACATAGCGTGTTTGTCTAGGTCGCTGCCTAGACCGAACCCCCCCCCTTAGATTAGAATCTTTCGTCAGTTATGTTTATGGTGGGGATCACCACCATAAACTGGGGATAGTCATATTCTGCGCTCGCAACCATTGCGTTCTTGAAATTAAAAACGTCGTCAACAAATCTTATGATGCACCCACCCCCAGAATAGATATTGGGCTTGGCTCCACTACTTACCAAATGTTCAAAATGAGAATGAATCTTGCGCTAGAACATGGGAAGATACACCGCCATGGTTTTTGTTTGCCTGTTCTGCATATGGTGAGCAGTGGAGCGACGCCCATAGACAACACAATGGTAGTACGTGCCAAGTGGGGCATTCAGACAATGTGCGAAATGAGAAGGAATCTTCCGCTAGAACACGGGAAGATGCACCGCCTTGATTTTTGTCTTCTCAAGCGTGGCATTTAGACAGGTGAGCTCTCCCAGCGGAGATGGAGATGGAGATGCAAGGTGAAAGCCGAGACGGCGAAGAATCTGGCCGCACGCAAATGCACACAACCGTGATAACAAGACGGCAAAGATATGGAGTACGTGAGGAAATCTGGAATAAGTATACTATAAGTCCGAAATATAGGAAAGGGGATGCAAAGAGAGAAGCAGTTCGTAGTGGTGCATATATGCCGGGCCGCCCGGGTCACCTTGTTCGCCCGGCTGGTAGCCTGGCTCAGCTGTTATTTACCTTAAATGAAAGTGCTCAGAAAACTGTAGGCGACGAGCCGGGCCGCCCGGGTCGCTTGTTCGCCCGGGCGGACCGATCGAAGGTCTCAGCAAAAGAAAAAGAAAGAAAATCCCCAAAACTCTGAAAAAATGTTCTGTTACGTAGAAAAATTAACTGAACAACTCTTGCCTCCGGGTCACATCGAAATTCTTTACCAAATTAAAAATAAAATAAAATGAAAAATTAAATATTTCCAGTGTGGACCGATCGAAGGTCTCAGCAAAAGAAAAAGAAAGAAAATCCCCAAAACTCTGAAAAAATGTTCTGTTACGTAGAAAAATTAACTGAACAACTCTTGCCTCCGGGTCACATCGAAATTCTTTACCAAATTAAAAATAAAATAAAATGAAAAATAAAATATTTCCAGTGTGATTCCAGGCTACCAGAGTGGCCCGGGTTCATTTGCCCGGCCGGGCCAAAAAAATGAAATAAAAATAAAAATGGTTTTTTAATTTAAAATTATATTTTAAATTTGGTGAAGAATTTCGATATGACCCTGAGGCAAAAGTTGTTCAGTTTATTTTTCTGCAGAACATAGTTTTTTCGCGGATTTTTTGGATTTTTTTGTTTTTTTTTCGGGCTGGGACTTTCCGTAGTCCTTGCACGGCCGGGCCGCCCCGGGAAAATAGGGTGACCCGGGCGGCCTGGCTGGTACCCTTAGGTTTTATTTGTTTTTTGGACCCGGCCGGGCAAGTGGTCCCGGGCCACTCTGGTAGCCTAGTCAGAAAGCCAAAACGTCTGTGATTTGTTGTTAATACGGCAAAGAAGATACGTTAAGCAATCTGGAAAATTATACCACTCCGAAAGATAGTAAAGGAGATGCAAAGAGAAAGCCGAGACAGCAGCAAAGACTCCGGCCGCACGCAAATACATACAACAATGATAACACCCACGGCAAAGATATGGACTGTGTGAAGAAATCTGGAAATACTGTAATTATACAACTCCGAAGAATAGTAAACCACTGTTAGAACCGAGAAGAGATCGCCATAGCAGGGCTATAGCCCCCCTCCTCCCCCCCCCCCCCCCCCCCTCACCGCCTGATCACAGTTCTTCTGTCGCGGAGAAATGAAGACGTCTGGCCGTCTTGCATTCCCCAACTGGTTCCGGCCACCGCCTATCGATCGACATAGGAAGCGTGATATGCTCCCGGGCAATAGGTGGGGAGCATAGACAAAGACAGTAAGATGGTTAAAGATACACGTACACCGGGTAATCAAAGTGCAATATGAATGTTTAACAATGCTATCGATTTTTAGAGATGAATTAATAGAATTATTATATTGCGTATTGCTACTATTGCGTCTAAATGCGATAAGTAGTAGTATACTTCTGAGTGTAATTCCTAAGGTATTAGCTTGTTCTGTGTTTAAAGGAGCATTATCAACTCTGACAGCAGAGCCTCTTGAGAACTCATGAGTTGTTGTGCATGGTGGTCGACCCACGAATGTCTATGATGATGGGGAGTATGAGTACTGTAATAGGAGGCGAGCCCGATCATCACGGGGTGATGCTCCCTGGCCCCCCACTAACGGTCTGGAGGGGTTACAGAAGTATAATGCAGCAGGCGGCATTATGTGTGGCACATAATGCAGATCAGTGTTTACTAGAAGATCAGGCTTGTGTGTGACACATAATGCATCACAATCTGAAATCAGTCCGCAATCATGAGAATGAATCTTACGATAGAACGTGACATAGAAAGAGACACCACACTGATTGAAAACGATGAATTGACACAATCGGTTTCCCAGTAGAACAGGCGAAGAAGAGAGAAAAAAAAAGAGCGAACAAAGGGAGAAAATGAGAAAAAGGAAGAGGAAAAAAAGCGAAAGAGAATGAGAAAAGGAAGAGAAAAAGAAGTAAAAGAGAATGAGAAAAGGAAGAGAAAAAAAGAGGGGAAAAAAAGCAAGAAAAGAAAATAAAAAAAGAAAAAAGAAAAAAGAAAAAAAGAGTAAAAAAAAAGCAAGAAAAAGAGACTGAAACAATAGGAAAAAAAAGAAAAAAAAAAGGAAAGAAAATAAAACAAGAAAATGGAAAAAAGAAAAAAAAAAAAAAGAGTAAAAAAAGCAAGAAAAAGAGACTGAAACAAGGAAAAAAAGAAAAAAGAAAAAAAAAGGAAAGGACGAGAAAGGGGAAGAGAGATATCAAGGATACATTGAGAACACGTGGGGAAAGATTGTGAGAGGCATGTTCATAGGTGTTGTCGCAAATTGCTGGATCTGATAGTCTGCTACCGTTGGTATGTTGGGGATATTCCTCCTTTTTTTTTTTTTTTTTTTTTTTTTTTGACATGAGCAGTACAACAAATGAGGCCTGCTGGATCTGATAGTCTGCTACCGTTGGTACGTTGGGGATATTCCTCTTTTTTTTGTTTTTTGTTGTTGACATTAGCAGTACAACAAAGGAGGCCTGGAGTTCGTCAACATTTAACCCGGAAGAAACCAAAGTACATTCAGCGGTCTAGTTTTGACCATGTTCAATGTACATTCACGGGTTGGGAACCATTACCCAGCTGAGGAGCAGGCGATGGGAAGAACGAAATCCAGTGGCAGAGAGATTGGGCAAAACTAGCCCGCTGCCTGGTTGGGATATTCACGTTGACGCCTACGTGGAAAAGTATTACTACATAGGCTACTAGCCGCGCGGCCCGGGTCACCTTGTTTGCCCGGGCAGCACGGCCGTGCAAGGAGCTACGAAGTTCCCAGCCAAAAAAAAAAAAAATCCAAAAATTTCCTAGGCTACCAGCCGGGCCGCCCGGGTCCCGGGTGGCCAGCCCGTGCAAGGACCAGCGCAGGTCCAAGCCAAAAAAAAAAAAAGACATCAAAAAAATCTGAACAAAAAACTACGTTATGCAGAACAATAAATCGAACAACTTTTGCCTCAGGACCACATCGAAATTCTTCACCGAATTTAAAATAAAAAATAAACTTAAAAAATATTGTTTTTTTTTTTTTTTTTTTTTTTGGCCCGGCCGGGCAAGTGAACCCGGGCCACTCTGGTAGCCTAGTCAAGTAGCCTAGTTCTTTTATTAAAAAAAAAAAAATTCTACTTCAGTATCCCTTGTCAGAGAAAAAAAATAAATTAAAAAATATTTTTTTTTTTTTTTTTTTTTTTTTGGCCCGGCCGGGCAAGTGACCCCGGGCCACTCTGGTAGCCTAGAAAAAAGAAAAAAAAACCCTATGCCAACAGAAAAATAAACTGAACGACTTTTGCCTCAGGGTCACATCGAAATTCTTCAGCAAATTTCAAATAAAATTATAAATAGTAAAATGTTTTTTTTTTTTTTTTTTTTTTTTTGGCCCGGCCGGGAAAATGATCCCGGGCCACTATGGTAGCCTCGACTACTACCGAAAAGAAAGTAAAGACCTACAATAGTTGTACCTACCGAAAAGAAAGTAAAGACCTACAATAGTTGCACCTCTCGCCCTCATCCAAGATTTTGAATGCATATGGACAACCACTTTGTCCACATGCATTCGAAATCTTGACAGATGGCGAGTGGTGTAACTTTGGTAGGCACTAATATCCACTGCACGAACTGTTTGTTGATGGGACACACAGGTTTATAGTATTCGCTTTTGCGATATCTATCCATCTGTTTGTTCATCTCCTCAGGTGGGGTATGTCCCGTCTGAGGTGGGGTAATTGATTACCTATTAAAAATGTCCCATCTATCGTCAGGTGTCGTCAGGTGGGGTACCTATTAACTGGATCGAGAAAATGTCCCATCGCTATCCCCAGGAGGGGTACCTATTAACGGGATAAAAAAATGTCCCGTCCGTCTATCCCCAGGAGGGGTACCTATTAACGGAATCGAAAAGTGTCCCATCTATTGTCAGGTGGGGTACCTATTAACGGGATCGAAAAAATCCCATCTATCCATCTGTTTGTTCCTCAGGTGGGCTAAACTGATTGATTACCTATCAACGAACGGGATCGAAAACTGTGAGAAACGTAGGTAGTAAACGTGAAG